TACTGGTGCTGAGCTGTCTTTATAACTTTGAAAGTGAAAACCGTGTTCTGTGGGGTAGGACTGTCTTTATGCTCAGTGTAGAGGGACTATCGCAATGGGATCTGAGTCCACTGGGTTTCCAACACACTACTGCAGTACAAACAGTCACAACAAAGGACTCCTAACTTTTAGTCTCAGCTCTGATGATAACTCCTGAGTATCCCTGTACTTAATGTTTAGAAGCTTGACCCCAGGAAAATAAACCACAGCTCGGCTTGCAGTGCTGAAGACAGAGAAACAGGCTTTAAGAATGGGATGCTTGAGCAAGCAAATGCCTAAGCCAGTCAACAGGAAATGTTGAAGAGAAGGGATGCCTGAAACCCTGCCCCTCTCTGGAGCTTAGTTGCCTCCCTGCAGCTCTGAATCAGCACCTTCAAGAGACTGGGATTCACAGCCGAAAACCTCCTCCCTAACTTAAGAGGCCTAAACCCTCCCTTTGGAGATGAATGAGTGGGTTGCCCTTTTTGAGACCTGGCATAAGGACCTGGTAGGGTGGTGGCTATCTTATATACAACAGCCTTGGATTTAGAGTGTTTGCCCAAGAAGTGGGAGAAGAGGGATCAGTACCCTGCCGAGCTGGTGGGGTTTTACCTCTGCATCTGCCAGAAGTGTCCTAACCCCCACATGAGAAGGAAATCTAGGCTGGAGGCAGTTTCTACCCTTCATGCAGAAGCTGAGCTACTGTGTGAAAAGGAATTCAAGATACCTGGGATCAGGAGAAACGGCACAAGAGGGAGTCTGACCCCCTCTTCACAGATGAAGACACTTACCTGATAGAGGGAAGTGCTAGTTTCTAGCCCCTGCTGTCAGCACTGGTTATGCATTTTGCTTTAAACAGTTATTGGTTAAAATAAATGTATAGTCCTGGGACCAGTGACTGGAACTCAGTTTTTCTTTTGAGCAAGTGCCCTTTTCCCTAGGCTAGAGTTACTACTCCCTCTTCTGCTCTCTCATGGCCATGTCAGGATAGAGACTGTCACCCACTCCAGACTCATTGTTAGAGCACTTCCCTAAGATGTGGGAAACATGCATTTTAGCTCCCTCAAGCTACAAAAGGACACTGAATCCAGATTCTCCACTTCCAAGGCATCAGTGTTGTTGAACCAAAGTCAGCATGGCAGCTGTGTTTTGTGCCAAACTCAATGATCAGTCTATGTAAGCTTATTTGGAGTGTACCTCCTAGATTGAAACTCTTAAGAGACTTAGACCCAGAGAAGGTTAGTTTGTGAATCTCAGTGGCACTTAGGTGTGAGGTAGTGGCCAATAGGGCTGTGCAAAGCTTTGGTTCCTGATTTCATTTGGCAGAGATTCAGCCCAATTCAGTGGCCGAATCTCCAAATTTGAATCGAATCAGAGGACCCCTTAATCTCTCCAAATCAAATCGGAACCCTCTGAATCAATTCGGAAAGATTTGGTGATTTGGACATAGGCACAGCTTTAAATGTTTTTTCTACATACCTCTAGGTAGCAGGCGGCTCGTGATTGCTGTGATGTTGGGGCACGTGGAGTGTCCCATAGGAGTGTGGGGGGCTCCCAGAAGCACTTCTGGTCCACTTCCAGGTCTCCCGGGGAGCGTGCTGGAAGGGCCCCCCAACTCAGTGACTGGTACCTCTTGCATTGGGGGGGGCTCCCAGAGTTCCCCTGTGGCTGATTGCCAAGCCACAGGGGGCCTGAGGGGGCCCTCAGTGTGCTCCCCCATGGACCTGGAAGTGGACTGGAAATACTTCTGGTCCACTTCTGGGTTTGCCGGGGAGCACGTTGAGGCCCCCCCCCCCCGCACTCCTGTGGGGCACTCCATCTGCCCCACCAGCGCAGTGATCACAAGCTGCACTGGTACCTCAAGGTATGTAGCAATAACTTTTAAAGCTGTGTCTGTGTCTGAATCACTGATTCTCCGAATCGGCATCGAATCTTCAGATTCGGATTTAGCTGAATCAAATCAGGGACGGTGATCCAAATCAATGAATCAAATCACTGTCCCTGTTGAGTATGGCCCGCTTCACACACCCCAGTGACCAAGGTTCACAGACTTGCCAAGATGGAGGCAGTTCTGAGTATGTGCAGTAGCAGAACTCTAGACACCAAAGGAATTTTACTGGGGAAAGTGGAGGTGCCACCTTCAGGCAATGAGCTCCCCAAGCACTTTCGTGGGCTTGCACATTCACTTTTGGTTTGGTTTCGCCAAATATAAGATATAAATAAAACACACTAGCCAGGTTCAAGTGCAGACTGTCGTCTTCTCTAATTGACTTCACAGCAGGTTCTTGGAATCTTTTAGTCATAGTCTCTAATTTGCACAGAGATAGTTTGTCATGTTCATCTGAAGTTGGTCAGAAAATAGAGCAGGATAGCACCTTAGAGACTAACTGAGGTTGAACTGCTTGAATCGGTTACTCTCTAAGGTGCCACCTGCTCTACCCTCTGCCAGTTGCTAATTCAGCAAGCACTAACTTCAGTAGAGCCATCATGAATGAATTTGGTGTACTGTATTGTATTCTTCAGCAACTTTGTTTTTGTATGTATCTTGTTGCTTTTGCTTTATGTCTGCTGTCTCGTAGACTGTAGTTGTAATGGACTCAGTCCAATCCCCTTTGAAGTCTATGGGTGTTTTTCCCAGGTTATTGGATAAGACCCACAGTGCATAATGTCCAAATAGCCAATATATTACAAAGCAAACAAGTATCTGTTCAGTTAAAAATCCAAATAATAAACTAGATCTATACCTAGCATAAAGTTGAAAGATGGAAAAATTCACTTTCTTAGTGTTAGAAGCAAGATTTGTGATGAAAGGTAATGTGTTTTATAAGTCCAACTGGTGTAATTGGGAGAGAAAACAGACAAGCTTTTGGTCCTCAAATGCCCTTCATTAGGTCTCCTTTAGCATTAGTTATTATGTGCATTTGAATGCAGGGATAGGACTTTAAGGATTTGGGGATCTGAAACAGAAATACCAACTGAATTTGAAAAGCATACAGTCTCCTCAATTGAACTTAGAATCTCAGATGTAGTTTACCCTTCAGACGCTGTGTTTCATAAGGAACACAGACGCATGAGGGTTTAAGGTTCTTTTGATATTAAAAATAACTTCAGAAACTCCAATATTTTACAATTTGATAACATAATTAGCTAGTGTTTTGACTAGACTGATTTGATGATAACATACAAAAAAGGGTAATTTAATCTTGGCAAAGAAATGAAGAATATTTACCTTTTTCCGTTTTATGTCTTAATTTCTACTTCAGATTAAACATTTTGGCTGCTGAATATTTAACGTTTGAAATTTCCCTGTATACGTCTTCTGTTTTGAATCATTATTTAACTTGGTGAAAAAGTGAGTTATATCCTGGGATTGCAGAGCATTGAGATCCTGTTGTTTTTCTTTTTTTCACGTGTGTGATCTCCTGCCATGTGCAGACCTTCAGCTTCTCCTGGGAGAGTTGCTGCTCTCCCAGTAAAAACCACAAATGTACAGATGTTCAGGATTTTTCTCCCAGAGCAAAAATGGCTGCTCCTAGGAGAAAAATAATTCCAGGAACAACTGGGGTTAAATCATTTTCAGGAGAGTTTCTCCTGGGAGACCAAAGGTCTGTATATGTTTCCTTCTGAGAGAAGCCATTGCACAGTCCTCCAACATCCCAGTGTCCCTTCCCTCCTGCCCTTTCCCCCCTCCTTACCAGGGGAGATAGTGTCTTGTTCAAGCTGGATATTACTGCTCCAGCCAAGCACGGAGCAGATCATGCACCCTTATAACCCCACATTGTGCTGCAGGGAGACGGACCCTGATCCTGAGCAGTCAGGATCAGCAAATCAGGACTGTCCTGTACATAGCTGCCATCTGTCTCCAGGCTGACTGAGGTAGCCTGCAGAGCACGCTGAGATGTGTGCACAGGGGTCTCCTGGCTGCGCAGTGTCAGCACTGCAAGCTCTCTGATCCTGAAGGGCTCAGTATTCAAGTGCCTGTTTGGGGAACTCCAGGTAAATTTTTTTTCTATCAGGAAACACCCCCAGGGAGAATTCTCCCAAATCACTTGAATGTGTGTGTGCACAGCCTCTGTTCACATTCTTTAGGAATCTCTTATGTGCATTAAAAGGGGTAGACCCAAATATTTCTATTATTTTTCCCTATTTTCTCTGCTTGTATTTGATTAAACACTTGTACTTGTTGATTTTAAAAAATGCTGTCGGAAAATACCTACATAGTCTGGTGACCAGCAAATTAATTATCTTTATGTGCAAAGGCATATAGATTTCTAATCAGTGGCTTGTGTTGTATACCACACCTTCAAAGGGCAACTGGTTCTCATTTATTGGGTGAGTACTCTACCGTTGAATAAGTGAGGCATCATTTTACATAATAATGGTATCAGTTATACCAGATGCACCCAAAAATAAGAAATGTTAGACCCTCTGTTTACAGGGTGGTATCTAGCCACTCTCTAAGGTAAGGATGAGGGTAGCTATATGGGCAGATCATTTCACATCTGTTCTTGATAGCAATTCTTGCACCTTCCTCTGAAGCATCTCCCTGTCCAGGCTATAGGATTTTGGATTAGATGGATCATAGGTCTGCCTAATATGACGTTCCCATGCTCTAATTTAATATCCTGTGGATGTGGTTCTTTGAAAAACTTAGAAAGGACTCTATCTTGATTATATACTTCTGCTGGGGTCTGATACACTTCCACTAATGTTAAAACACACTTGATTTATTTTAAAATAATCCCTAGTGCTATTCCTATACTTGTGATTTGGCTTGACCTACAAAACTAGCTTATCTTGTAAGTGCCAAACTTTGAACTGAGCTATTGAAAATAACAATAGTGGAATTTGTCCTGAATTGACAGTTTTCTGTATTTAAATATTTAATGAATGCTTAATTAGAGCAAAAACAAGAGTCAGGGGATTGTGTGTTGCATTAATATTGTATTTCAAATGAAGTAATGGATTTTATTCTTTTCTAGGGGATCAGCAGCCTCTTCAGTTCCTTAAAAGTGGTGCGTCTTCTACGACTTGGTCGTGTTGCCAGGAAATTGGACCATTATCTAGAATATGGTGCTGCAGTACTGGTGCTGTTGGTCTGTGTATTTGGACTAGTGGCTCACTGGCTAGCCTGTATATGGTACAGCATTGGGGATTATGAGGTGATCGATGAAGTCACTAATACAATCAAAACAGATAGCTGGCTCTACCAGTTGGCATTGAGTATCGGGACCCCATATCGGTACAATACTACCGGCTCAGGGCAGTGGGAAGGAGGACCAAGTAAAGACTCGTTGTACATATCCTCTCTCTACTTTACCATGACAAGCCTTACAACAATAGGATTTGGAAACATTGCTCCTACCACTGATGGAGAGAAGATTTTTTCAGTAGCCATGATGATGGTTGGCTGTAAGTAGAATGGTCTTACTGTATTCTGTTTTATTTTGCATGTACATATTTATCTTCCAGCATTCAGTATGGCATATTTTAAAGCACATGCATTGGCTTGTTATACTGTTACTATTAGTTGCACGTGTACTATCCCATGATTGCCATCAGGACTCTTGACAGACATATATTTTAGCATGTTGCCTTGCAGATAAGTAAACATGGAATAAAACTGGTGATATAGAAGCAAAACTTATCTGATCATGACTTGGAAGATGTATATAGTGCTTAAGTAGATCTGATCAAAATTATATAGTACGTGCCACGATTTCTTTTTTTGCATTTTAAAAATCTGAGTATGCGTTAAGTATTGAATTGGGTTAAAAATTTGCACTCTCAGACTCATGGGGCCAATTGAATTCACCTGATATGTTTTTTTTTAAATGAACTTCCTCTAGCTAGTTTTCAGAAAGGTGCTGTGCCTTTTATGACATTGGTTGGGTTTTAATGTAAGCTCTATTTTTATCTACTGAGATGGTATCCTTTGTCACCATGGAAGCTGAAGGTAGAGGAGGTCATTAGAAGACATAGTATTGTACCTCTTCTTAGTTTCCTGCTGTTTTGCAGCTCCTCTCAAATGCTTTTCAAATGACGGCGCAAAGGAAGATTCCTTATCTCAGATGCTATCTCATGGCTCTAGGTGAGAACACGATGCAGCTTTTCAGGTTAACAAGAATCTTCAAAATATAGTGTAGTTTGAGCAGCTGGCATAGGGAACCAGGGGGCTGTTGAAAAATTTAATACACGAATAAAATCATTGGGAAAATGGTAAATTATTTCATTGCTTAAATAATTAAAGAAAGTGCTACTGTTGTGCGTTACATTCTCAAAGGTTTGTACAGCGACCGAGTAATTATGTAACAAGTGTGCAAACAACATCTTTTGAAATTAGGAGCTGCGTAAGCTGTCTACTAATTAAGTTCAGCACCACCTTTAAGTCCTTTGAAAAATACATAACTGTAAATGGCAAGTCTTTTTTTTTGTCCTAAAGCTTTTCTAGAGGTCCCATATTATTAAATCTATTCATATTTTTAATATTATTTTTAATGTGTTCTATTGTTTCAGGAATCTGATAGCGTGCTTGCTGTGTGGTTTGATATGATTTGTGCTTAAGCAGCATCTTCACATATTGCAGTGCACTTTACAGTCTATAAAATGCAGTTCCCAAGCTATGGCATTACTGAGCCACTGTGGATATACTGTAGGAAATATACAGGTGGTGGTGGACTGCAAATGCTTTTTTTCTTGATTCTGCTAGATGGTGTTTACAGAGGTCCAAGGACTGGGAGAACTGAGTGGTTTTGCAGCATCTTTGACTTTTCTGCAGACTACTGGTGTGGTGCAGGGGAAGGGAGCGGGAAGTAGAGCTTGCAGCATTCTCCAAGTTTGCTACCACTGAATACACTATAGACTAATTGGAAAATAGTGCTAGAAGGGATCTTAGGAGATGATTTATTCCAGCCTCTTCCTCAGGGCAGGATCCATCCTCATCTAAGCAGTCATGGCTCAGTATTTGTCTAGTTTACACCATTAGTGAAGGGGATTTCACAGCCTTTCCAGGCAGTCTGTTTCAGGACTTGACCACTGATAATTAGAAAGTTCTTTCATACCTAATCTCATTTCTCCTCATTGTAATTTAAGATAGTTGCTTCTTCTCCTGTCTACTAGAGGCACAGAGAATAGTCAGTCGCCATCTTCTTTGTGATACCCATTTTCTTTTTGAAGACTTGTCAAATCCTCCCTCTGTCTTCTCCTGGGTATACTAAACAATTCAGGTTCTTCCATGCCTGGTATCAGTTCTTCCAGCCATCGTAAGGTTCTTCCTCTGAAACACATCAGAGACATAAAAGCTACAGCTCATTACCAAAGAGTGGTATGGACAGAAAATTCTGCCCACTCCCAATAGCTGATACTGATGGTAAGCATGGGTGCTAGCTGCAAAATTGCCTAAGTAGGACACAGGTTGGGTATTTAACCAGAAGCATAAAAGTAATGCCTGAAAAATGATCAGTACGAAAGGGGACAGACATTTTATACTCTAAAAATGGTAAATATGAAAGGTTTGTAGGTACTGGGTAAAACAGGGACAGAGTTTGAAATTTGGCATGTACACAAAAGGAACAATATGGGGCCAATCTTTACTTGCCTTTTCCAAGTAAATATACACACTGATGTTAGCGTGGCTACTCATGAGTAAAGGAAGCAAGTTTCTGCCAGTAAATGAGACGTATGGGTAGAAAAACCTATTTCTAAGTCATTTTTTTAAAATCAAATGTTTAGATTGAAAATGTTGAGTCTTTTGCAGATTTGATCATAAGTGCTTGAGGATTTTCACAGATGGACCTGTACAAATGTACATGCACAGCTGCGCTGGCTTAATTTCATGTGTTTGGAGATAGTCGTGGAAATGTTTGCTTGTAAATATCATGCTGTGAGTGCATGTGTGTCCTAAATCGAAATATGCTGATTGGTCAGTTAAGTGTTCACATGACTACTTGCTAACTTACACCAGCTTGCAAATACCAAGCTTGTGGTTTGTTGCGGTATTTGTGTTCACAAATCCATCCTACGCGGATGTCCAGAGTCTGCCTTCTGGGGTGCACGTTGTTGAAGTGAGAACACCAAAAAGTGATACTAATCAGAAAGTATGCGGGCAAAAACTGTTATAAGGAGAGGTGGGTACTTTCTTTTGGACAAATAGTTTGTGAAAAATGCATCTTGAGGGCAATAAAAATGACTTGCAAATTTGGACCAGGTTGGTTAAACAGTTTTGGCCAAAATGCAAAAGTTTGGAAAAGTTGAAATATTTCATTTCAACACTTTCAAACGGAAATGTATAGTCTTTCTATAAAATAACATTTACAATAGTAGAAAGATTCCTCTTAAAAATGACATAAATTTTTAAGGTTTTTATTTTGACAAGACAACCAGAAATATTTTCGTTAGGGGTCAGCACAAAATAGTTTTTGTTGGTTGGTTTGGGCACTGAACCAGGAATCAATGATTCCCAGAGCTGCAATTATAAGTAAAGAGGAACTTTCTTTTCCTTTTTTATACTCTAAAATACGAAACAAGCTTGGTGATAGTCCTGGAAATGTTTGCTAATACCGGTAGTTTGTCTTGGCAACGTTTTCCTAACAAGGTCTGCCAAAAAAGCATCTGACACTTAGATTTGGAATTGGAGATAGCCATTCATCACAATCCTAATGGCCTGCCCACGTAAACTTCAGACATGGCAGAAATGATTTGTTGCTTTGTCTCCTGGCGTTTATTTGTTTTGCAAGCCAGAAGTTTGCTATTCACGCTGGTAAAGTTATGTGTAGTTGGGAAGAGTGTTTGGAGGGATTATGAGTACATGAATGTTACTGGTGGCCAGGATTACAATGTGGTGCTCGTTTTAAAAAATAGCAGAGTTAAGTCTCTGCACTTGCTATAAACAATCGTGTGGAAAGTGACTGTGTGGTTGGCTCGGTATTTGAGTGCTGTTTTCTCCCCTGGCTGTTCAGCTGGCATTGTAATCAGACAGGTGATTTAAACGGTCTGAGACGCATCACCTGGAGTCTTTCAAGGGAGATGGTTTTTCTCTTAAAAATTATACTTTACACTCATGGCTGTTGTCTTGATGTCTCTTTGACCTGCTCGTTCTGCCTCAGTATGTAAGCTGAAGCATTTGTGTTTGCTGTTTCCAACTTTTTCAAGAGACAAACTGGAACAAACCTTACTGCTTTTTATTGCAAGACTGGGGAGTGAAGTATGTCTGAGGGTTGCTGTGTAAATTCTCATTTGCTTAAGTGGTCCCTGCATCGGGAATTCATTTTCTTGCATCTCGTCTTGCTTGTATAATGTGACCTGGAGTGGAGCAGAAAGGTGTGAGAAGTCTCTCCTCTGAATCAGTGAGGGACCTTGCCTTGCAGTAGAGACCTTAAATGCAAGCCTCTAAGCTTCACTCGGCTCCTGCTCTGCGGTTATGCATTCTGGTCTCCTCCTCTGTGATTACCTCTGGCAAAGTACTAGGGCTGCCACAGAGGGATGGACTTTGAAGTGGAAGTGACTCGGCGCCGTGTGTTTCATCTAATACAGGCGTCTATTCACATTAAAGTTACTGTACATGGAAATCTCTGAATTTAAATATATGTTTTATTCTGTTTACATTTGCTGTACTAAACATTGTTCTTTAAAAAACAAACAGAGAACAAACCTTTGAGTCATCTTCAAAAAATGAGTGGGTATTACAGAGAGGAAAGGCGTTCTAATTCAAAATAGTTTTCAGATGTCTCAGAAACATGTAAGGGGTGGTAAGCCTCCTTTTCCAGAATATTTGCCCACTTTTACCAGTTACTACCCCACCAAGTCCTAATGCTTAAGAAGCTCACTTAGAGAACACTGTCATGTAGGCTTTTATTCTTCACAGGTTTAAATTTTTTTTTTTTTTTTGGTTGGAAAAATATGCAATGCACCGCCTTGAGTCTGCAGGTTGGAAACAACACATTCAAGCAATTACGACATTTTTTAAATTCAGTTTTTGCCGCTGATTGAAGGGAGAGTTGCTGCCTGATAGAAGGTTTCACTTTTGTCTTCTTCCTCCATTTTATACTTTATAACCTGGAGAGAACCTTAATGTGAGCATTAGTGTTGTCAGTGGGCCATATGTTCTACCTGATGCACCTCTCCTCGGAAGGAAGCCCTCCTCGATGAGCTGAGGGAGCTTAGCTTTGACAGGACCTGGTGATGGCTGCAGCTCTTCCTCATAAGCACCATGTTTGATTTTCCTTTTTTTACAGTTTGGGAATGGATGTGGGCTGCTTGTGAGGCTTTCAAGACAAGGTTCTTATCGATTGTCCAAGCCATTAGCTAATTCGTTATTCCAGTTGTGTTCTTTTATTGTTCAAGAAACATTATTCAGTCCCTCAGCAGCATGCTAATTAGGCCCTTGAATGCAATGCCTCTGAAGCACTGGAGTT